CCATTATCTTTTTATATACATTTTTGCAATTGCAAAATATGAATTAAAAAGAATAAAATCAATCGGATTTCACTATCCAATTGCCAGATTAAAAATCAATAGATAACAGTGCATGTACATATAACCTAAGGCAGCTTACCAAGAGCATGTGAATTTCCGGACTTTGGTTTCTATGCTTTACTTGTCCGGTATGTCCCAGCCTGTGAACAAGCCTACATCTCGTGTCTCGGAACAGCCCCGTTACCAATTGTCCTCCGCCATCTTATCCATCGAAACGGAGCTAATTTCTTGGTAATCAAGATATACAAACTCTGCAATCCCCTTTTTTGCAGCGGCAATATGGTGCCATTAAACAATTTAGGGGACCTTCAATGAAAGCAATCATGCTATTTGCATTCATCTATCTAATTCTGATGTATTTACATTCTGTGATACCTTCTGGCACAGACATTCCGGTAACGGATTCCTGTAAAATGATTCTTCGGAATGAAACCTATCCATGCCCTTCGTTCCTGGGACAGGGCCTTTTCTCCTCCTAGGCGATCCTTGCCTGTAAAATCCATAAAAGAAGGCATAAATTAAGTTGAGTTTGAACTATATTATTCGGACTTGGGTACTAGTGTCAATTTACTCCTGTGTTTGATGAGTAAATTCGATTTTCATGTTAAAGTTTTTTTCATATATGTCATACGACATCCCATACCCTTGTTAGAATATCGTCATAATAATATAGGGCCTGAATATTACATACGTTTATATTATGATAACCTACCTCTCTCCTTCCACAAGCAATGATCTTCAGCATATAATTAACTAAAACAAGAACATACAATTTTTTGTGGATTGCGATGATCCGATCCGAAACCTTTGTGCCTTCCTTCAATACACCCCTCTCAATTTTTCGAGTAGAGGAACAAGCCCTTTCCTAAAGGAGAGAATTTGGAAACAACTTCAGGACAATTCAAAAGATTGGAATATGAATACAGATAAGCAACCAAAAACCAGTGGGAGTTTAAGAAAATAAATCAAATCACCTGTCGGGAGAAATAGTTTTCCTATGTCCCAGAAAACGACGATGCCCTTCAACTGCTTTTGCCATGTTCCCGGAGTATGATGGAACGAAGACGTCACTTTCAACAGATACAATGTAATCAAGAGCAGCCATTTGAGATGAATGGTTGGTGAATGGTTCAAGCTCCTCAACAGAAGCCAGTTTTTCCTTCAAAAACATCACACAATCTAACTCAATTTCGTCCTTATTCCGTATCATTGAACATTAATATAACCTTTTTCACCAAGTTTTATATTAAGTTCCAAATGTTTAAATGTTTCCCAAATATGAGTATCATATTCTACCTTAGTCATTAACATGGGATAGCGAGATCGTAGATCAGCCATACGAGTATCACCCCCATATATATCTCCTGCAGCAATGTATATGGGGGTTTTCGATGGGAATCCAAGAGCAGTGAGAAAAATTCCGACCTCTTTTGGGGTTAAGGGGCAACGTCCTTTCGCTCTCTGTACCCTGGCATCAATGTTTTTGACTTTCCAATGGGCAGTTCTTTGTCTGCACTTTCGGAATAACAAATAGTTGATCTCTTATACAACTTGACCTCTATTTTTCTCTATAATCGTAACTTGTGCATTAAAAAACAATTTTACACTACGTTATCTTTTGGTTTCTTTCAACTTCCACTAGACACATGGAAAGCTAGGTAACTGGTATACCTGATTGTCTTCAGCTCTTTAGCTTCAGCATTAGATAAACCATGTGTGCATCCACTAAAGGCAAGCATGTCTTTCTCATATCGTAAATGCAATGCGATGAAATGACCATAAGACCTCATCCGGTCCACCAACAACTGCAATTTCAGCAACTTATAATAAGTACGATGAATAGAGAAAAACATACTAAAGACTCTTAAGACATGATCAAAGTCAAACTGATTACATTTCCCATTGCTTCAATTTCGGGTGCAAAATGAAGTGCTTCATAGCAAGCACGACAACGGAGCTTTTGTATATCTGGAGGCAGATTGTTATTTGCTAGGCGAGAATCAGACTTAGCAGCTCGAATAACCTAGTAGAAAATGGGAAATAAAAATGGAAGAGTACTTTCATCAGAAAAGTTGCATAACCAATTAATCACAATAAAGATTTCAACAAACAAACCTGATATTCTTTCCACAGGCTGCCTATCGTATTCCTGTAGTACGATAAACCAGACCCGCTTTTAAAATGCTTAACAACTTTGGTAGCAGAAGACAATTCCTTGGGAAGTTTCTTTACAACTTTAACATCATTTGCCAAAGCATTAATGAAATGGTCCTCTTCAAAAACATCAGAGAAATTGCTGCAAGTCAACAAAGAAGCAAAAAATAATATTAGTCACTATGAAACTCGGCCAGAGATAGGAAGTAATAAAGTTGTACTACTTTTTGCCAAGGAGAGGCTACCTAGTATCTTGCCAAAATGATCCTTTATCAAGTTCTGGAACAACAAGTGTGGCATTTATTATACGGGCTATAGCTACCATGTCACATATCTGCAACTCAAGAATGAAACTCCAGTCAGTTAAATGATCAAGAAGAACTGATATCCCAATTTAAGTACATAATACAATGGCTAGATTGCCAATATTTCAGTCATTAAACTTGAACATATGTAACATTTGGATCTTTAAGTGTCTCCCTATGACTATCGGAGATGTATGAATAGTGTGCGGATGATATTGTGTTCATCTGTTGAGAATGGATATCTTGATATCTGCATCTCTATCCGGGAACATCAACGATGAAGGAATACGTCATGTTAACAGATATATCATATAGTCAGAATGAATTTCATCAAACTAGAAATCAACCTTGAAAAGTGATAGAAGATATATACCCCAGTCCGCATTTGGTTGAGCCCGCCATTTGTACGAACTAGAAGATAACCTCTTGACTGATCAGGACCTAAAAAAGTATAACAAATTGAAGAATCAATTTACAAGTATAATGTCGATACCTTGAAAGAAAATTTTCAAAATTTAACAACTTCTTTACCTTTATAATTGGGACTGGGCTGTATGCAGGCCACCAAATCACGATCTTCGGGCCGCTTCCACAACATCTCAAAATTCAGATTTCCACTGGCACCATCAATCTGTCAAATCCAAAAGAGTGAAAAACATGAAAGACACATGACTACCTCGTATCAATAAAGGTCTATGTTGCTCCGACTCTTCATTTTTGTTGAAGTAACCATACACTCTTGTCCAACACATACATATAGAGATATGACCTTCAAGAGTCTCCAAATACATGGAAAAATTAGAAAAAAAATTCTGACCATACCGTTGTTGAAAACATACTTGTTCCGACACTCACATCCGAGTTCGAGTAACACAGATAGAGGTATATACTAGACTTAAACCAACAACAAGCTAGCATGCAAATTAGATAGTAAACAAATTAAACATCCTCCCAAAAGGAATTTGACAATACCCAATCAAGTTATAATAAAATGGCTTATAGAAAACAAGCAGCAGAGTACAATGTGAAGGAATATAATCCAGGAATAACAAGAATTTATTTTCATTCTTTTTTCGGGAGGGTTTTCTTAATGTTTCATTTTCTCAGCAACAAAACAGATTATTGAAACAATTAACATAAACACAAAAACCTTGTGAAATGAAATAGGAGTCTTGGAAAGATGCGGCGGAGATTGCTGTTTCGATAAATAAGGCGGAGCCTCCTCCTTCATCCACCTTTTCTCTGCGCTTAACTTCTGGTACTTAAATTCATGTTGCTACAAAAGTTCAAAAAACAGAGAAACGAAAATCAAATTCCACATTTTATACCTCAACTAAAAACAAATAATGTCACATTTCCAAAAATGGAAAACACGTAAACAAATCAAGCAGGCAATTGAAGAACACGATATTTATATATATAATATATATAGATAGTAGAGAGAGAGAGAGAGAGAGACTTGAGTGATGGTAGGGAGCTTATAAGTATCAGATAAATCAGAAACACGGGAAGAAGGGAATACATGTACGTATCCAGAAAGCAGTCCGATCAACGCTATGGTGCATATGGCGCACATTAGTATTTTCTGCAGTAGTACAACCGCCGCCAACCTCCGCCTCCGTCGCTGCATCATTTCCTTTCCCTCCTAATAGAACAATCAAAACGTCTCTCTTCTTATTCTTCTTCTTCTTCTTCCTCCTCCTCCTCCTCCTCTTGGCTCTATTTTTTATTTGGCTCTGTGATAGCGAGAGAAAGATACAGCGATCAGCATCAGTTTTTTCCCCTCTATTTTGTCACTATCTATTTTTGTCAATTAAAAAATATGCAAATTAGTCTTTTCGATCAAAAAAAAATACAAAAAGAAACCTTAACAACCCAAAGGAAAGAAAAAAAAACTATACAAATTCTAGAAGTAATATAAGATTTTCTAAAAAGGTTAAAATAAAAAATGTTTTTTAAAAATAATAATTTCAAAATTTTAAATAAACAAATCATGAAATCAATTTTATCTTATAAAAATATATAAATTATTTCATTTTATTTGGTTTGGTTTGGTTTGAAAATCTTCTCAATATATATTGTCTTAAATTATCTGTTCTAACCTAACATTTTATCATATTATTAATAAAATTTAATTTCACTCGTTCAATTAAAAAAATGAAGTAAATAGTAAAATAAAATTAATCAATATAACTTTTCATTTGATTCAATTTGATTAGTATGAAACTCAACTTTGAATGTAAATAAAATAATAATAATATAAAAATTTAATAAAATATACTTTATTTAGATTCATTCACCTAAATTTGAAAAAGGGTTTTATCCAATATGTATGTTGAACCTTGAGTTGAGCGACTTCTTGGACAAGTAGCTATGCTTAGTATATTAAGTCTCCACCTGAACATTTGAAAATTATATGGCATGAACCATTGGTGTATGTGCTGTCAGCCTAACACAAATTATGAAAAAAAAACAATTTGCTAATTTAAAACTGAGTTTAATTTATTTGATACGATTGCTATTGTAATATATAAAGGGGTTAATTCAAGTTCATGATAAAGAAAATTACAATGATACTCAATAAAAACTAATGACGCTTATATTTATGATCAGGATAACTAATGACGCAACCCAAGTTGTGAAGAAAGCCGCAAATGGCGATCGGTTCGGTGAAGCTGACGATGAATCCGAGTTTGTTGTTGTCGTCGTCGCTGTTGTTGAGCTGCCGGACCCAACTTTGATGGCGAGCTTCATGCCATCGGTGCAATGGCCGGGAACACCACAAATGAAGTAAATAGTTCCGGTAGTCTTGAGAGTGACAGTGGTGGCTCCACTCTTATCTGATCTTATTGCATTACCCACGGTGCATGTACTATAATCACTTGAACTTACTTCATCCACTGTATGCATGGTTGGGTAATTGAAGACTAGGCAACCAAAAGTTCCCATCGTTAGTTCATTATGAAACATGAAAAATTCGAAATTAATTTATCCAATCATTCAAAAGTTCAAAATATGATGCGAAAAAGAATTGGACGAAATGAAAGTTTGGTTTAAGAACTCACCAAGGGTATCACCAACTTTGAAGGTCTTGCCTTTAGTCCATGTGCCATAATCAACGCCACTTGTCCACCCAGAGGTGTCACCCACTGTGTAAACTGTGGCCAAGCTTGGCACGACCATGCTCGCAACTACCAAAACACATGCCACTCCCACACTTAAGCTTGCCATTTTCTTATTTTACTTAAGAAAATATACAAAATAAGATTATAGAAGCAGAGAAATAAAGAAACAGCTTTTTGTGATAATAATTTTCTGAAATGGAGTCCCTTATATAAATAATGCCATGAAATGATCATGAACAGGTATACAACAAAGCTAGTCCAAAAGTAATCAATTATTAATTCAACAGAAAGGAACTCTCCAAAAACATAAATATGTTGTGTGATTGAAGCGATCTTTTGACCAATTGAAATGATGGATTGTGAAAGAAGAAAACCCACATTTTCCTTCAGATTCTTTGTGAACAGATAAGTTGTTGTGATCATGTGGGTGTTGGCAACCATTGGTGTTTTGTAAGAGGTAGATGAAGAAAGCTTCAAACACCATTAATGAGAGAAAGAGACGTGATAATTCAATGGCGGTTGGAACATAATATGCTTGAAATGTACTCAAACCAAAAATGTATCCATATTAAAGAGACCAACCCCCTCTTTTGAAAACACATACATCTTGCATTCAACAACCTATTTTCATTGCATTTTAGACTAGATGGAAGAAAGGTATGATATCTTGCACCTTAAACTATGTTGATCTTAGTTTTGTCCTTCATCTTTTGACGTGGAGATAAAAGAATAAACACACACATATTTAGCTTCTCTTAATCTTTGAATCTCGAATTTCTTCCTAACCTGAGACAATGTCTTCAGGGGCATGATTTTAACTCCAACACAATACGGTCATTCTACTATTAAGTATTAACCCAAAGTAAAGAGGAATGTTTAGGAGATGGCCCAAAGTAAAGAGGAATGTTTAGGAGATGGGTTGGTTAACGGGATTTGGATGGTAGAACTGACCAAATACGGTCCATATTGTTTAGCCCAACTGCTCGTGGATCCTATACAAGTTAGTCCAGCCAATAGGGTTGGACTTGAGATGGGCATGAGTCACTTTTCGGTCAATTCAACCTGACTCGATAAAAATAAACTTTCTACTTGAGATTCAACTTGATTTGGGGTTTAGGATAACTTCACCTGACCCGAAATTCAACCCGTCTTTTGAGAAAAACTCATCCAACCTGATCTTATCCTATACAAATATATAATTCTTAATTTCATTTGATAAAATAGAGATTTAATTGGAAAAAAATAATATAAAGAAAAATATTATTGCAATTATCTTTAAACATATAATGTATAATTACATTATTTTTCAGTTAGGGTATTTTCACCATAATACCAACTTGATTCAACTTGAACTCATAATCTAAAAAACTCAACCCAACCCGATCTAAACTCAATTAAAAAAACCGCCAAGTAACAACATTAAATTAAATTAAATTAATGAACTTGTGACAATCAACAGATAAATGCAGGAAAAGCAGTAGTTTTAACATCAGAAAACAAGCACTCAATTGCAGACTGCATCTATGTCGCTGGAGCTCAACTGTAAGAGCTACGGGTATGCTTAGTTTCTTTTAAGTTGTTCCATGTATTTGGAGGGCCATATTCCAAAACCATATCTGAAAATGTCAGACAGACATGACGGACACGAATATGCAAAATGAAGACCACCAAATACTGAAAAATTTTAATATACTAATGAGCCAAGCAAAGTGAAGAAAGCAACACATGATAGCAGACCAACAAATATAGAGAATCCAACATTTTCCTTTGCAGATGCTTCCCCACCAGAATCATTTATTTGTGATATTGCCTCAATCATCTTTTGTTCTCCTCATCCAATATTCGGTTTTCTTCAACGAAATTGATATCATAGTACTAGACAAAACAATATATGCTGAGAGGTTTTCTAATACAATCAAAAACTGAAATTAATCTCCTTTAAAGCAAATTCATCGTGTTCAATTTATTCCAGCTCTCTCTTTCAGCAATAAAGAATAATGGGTTCATTATGTCTTCTCAAAATCCGATGTGAGTATCGATTGCGAACATGTTTTCGGCATTGGTGTATTTCTGATACCTATCTGAATGTGTTGAACATGATACATGAGTAAAATAAAGAGTGAGAGAAATACAATGCTCAACTAAGTGTAAATTTTTTAGCCCATCCTTTTAAGCCAATGAAAAATAAGTCAGCGTTAAATCCAAACACAGCCTCCAAAAATTGATTTTTTCGACTCATTTTGATTTGGAAAAAAAATAATTGACCATATTCCCATATGTAATGGGGTGAGGGGGAGGTAAGGTAGTAGGCTGCCCCAACGCCAGGTTGAGAGCAGCTTCCGTGAAAGCCCTCTGGCAGTCAGAATTATGAATTACCCACCGTGGGACTCGATCCCACGACCACAAGGTTAAGAGCCTTGTGCTCTACCAACTGAGCTGGACGGGCAATTCGACTCATTTTGATTTGGGAAAACTCGACTCAAATGAAATTCGAGTTGTAATTTCATAAAGTCAACTCGGAAAAATTTCAAGTTACAATTGAGTTGTAAAATATAGCTCGAATAGTAACTTGAAGTTTTTAGTAATTAGTATATTGTTTTTCAAGTTTTAATCAAGCCTCTCAACTTTTTATGATATATATATATATATATATATATGCATAAATACATATGAAAAACATAAAGAAATATATATGTATTGTAAATGATTATAAAAAATTATTTAAATTTGAATAAAATAATATCATAATATTATAAATATTTACAATTAGATTTAAGCATAAATTCAAAAATTCGACTTGAATCGAAAATATTTTAAGTAAACTTCAAGTTGTAAAATATGACTCATCAACTTAAATAATTTAAATTTTTTACTCGACTCAATCGAAAGATCTTCCTTAACCTCCATATTTACTTACAACATAGGCAAAACAACGGGGGACTAGATGTGCCATGGTCCCCTCAAAATTTGAGAAAATTATTATAAGGCACTTCAAAATTTAAACTAAAAATTATTTATCTCACTTAAACTATTTAGAAAAAAATATTTTATTCACTTAAAATTATTAAAACTTCATATTGATATACATACATACTTATATATTTATAAATGAATTTAAACTTATTTATTAAAATGTTTATTATTTTTCACTCCTAACGAAAAATATTAATAATATATAACTGGTATATACATAAATGTATTTATTTTTAAGTTTTTATTTTAATATTTTTTTATTTCTCAAATTATGATTTTATTCTTTCCCCTAATTTTTATAATACTTTTAAATAAAATAAGAAAAAATGTATTAGAGGAGACCAAAATTTATTTTTTCTTTAAAATTTGAATGGGTGAAAATTAATATTATTAACAATTTCACATAATATTTTAAACACTTTTAGACTCTTATTTTATTCTATAAATAAAAATAAATTCATACTAATTTTCTTAATATTTTAGATGTTTCATTTATAATTTGAATATGAAAATCTGCTGCTATAATTTCATTTCATTTTTCTTCCAAAAAAATCTTAGTGGAGAATTTATAGGAAAAAAAACCCTAATAAATCTGTATTTATTTAATGATATAAATATAATAAAATATACGGGCATTGATCAGCAAAATCGATGCTCCAACTGTTGTCTTCTCCTTTGATTCGTGATCTGACGAATAAAAAAGATCGAAGCCATCAATTTCTTCGAGTTTTCAGGCACTAGTATGATTCCAATGGCGATGCACGGGAAAGGCAACTTCACTCTTTTTGTTTCTCTATTTAGTGCTCCCGTTATCAACCGCGCAAACCCAAACGATCCCAGTTCTGCCGCACCCGGCGCCGTCCAATCTTAACGGTCCGGTTGCATCAATATCCAATTAAAAATTGGCGATTTTAATGTTGGTTTTATGGGTTGCGTGTTTCTTCATGGGATATTATAGCGTTGACTTAAGGGAGTGGGCGGAAAGGAGAATTCGACTCTGAAACTGGGATTCCTCTACGAATTTGAGGACCCAGTCTAGGAGGTTGACACGTGACTCGAGTCGTTGGCAATTAAATCTTTCCCGACCTTTCTTTACTCGACGGTTAAAGGACTCGAGATCGGGAAGGCCACCCTCGAGTGCCGCTATTTGCTTGAAAAAGTTCGAAGACGACGAAACGCTGTGTTTGACCCGTAAACTTAGCCACGTGTTTCATCCCAATTGCATCGACGCTTGGCTCTCTTCTCACTTCATGTGTCCCGTTTGCCGTGCGAGACCATTAACTCCGCCGCAGTTCAAGTTAAAGGTCCGGTCTCGAATCCTGAAAACCGATCTAACGACAATAGTACCGGCGATGAAACGAGTGTCATTGAGATTATCAATCAAGAAACAGACGTAGAATCACAGGAAGAGAGTTTGATAAATCCAAACTCGATAATGACTCAAAACAAGCCATGGAAGTTGCCCTGGTTGTTCCACCGATCTCACTCGACAGGTCACCCACTGGTTCAACTAACTGAAAACCGTGAGCGGTTTACGCAACGGTTACCGGAAGATGCACAAAATCCATTTATGAATAACTCGAGCTGCGGAGTGTTCCCTGAGGAGAGAAGTTCAAGAAGGGGATACAGAAGTAGGAGTTTAGGGAGGAATTACTTTAACTACGGAAGTTTCGATCAATGGCTATAGAATAGAAGAGCGTTACAGAGGAACATGAAACAAGAAAAATTAAAATGAGAAATGGGTTTACACCTTACACCCATTGTTGAGTTGAATTTTATATTATATAAATATTTCTATTATATTTAAATAATTGTAGCAATTATTAGAGAATAATATTTTTAATTAAAATAACAATTTAAATATACTTTTGAATAGATAATTTATTTATATTTAAACATACTATTAAATTTAGAATATTTTTATATATTTTTTAAATATATTATATATTTTTAATATACTATTTTTAAAAAAATATTATTTTAGAATAATTAAATAGTCTGTTTAATATTTTATCATAAATCTTTTTATTAAAATTTAATATTATTTTATAGTTCAAATATATAATTAATATTTTCGTTTATTCCTTGTATAGTCTTTAACTGCATTATATCTCTATTCCATTCAAATTTAATAGTATTCGGTTATTATTCCATTTTATTTCAGTGACTCAAATGTATCATTAATTTTTCACGGGTAAATTGATTTAATATTAATTCAGTCAATTTTTTCATAAATGGTCTCGACTATAAGATATTATTTTATTAAGTTCATTGATTATTAAAAATTATAAAATGATCCTTTGACTATAGAAAGTTTTTTTTAGTCATCCGACTATTAAAAGTTATAAAATGGTCATCAATTATTCATTATGTTCCAAACTCTGGCCCATGTTACAACAACGTGGATGTATAATTGTATGTCAAACTAATTTGATCATACTTCTAATGAATCCAAAAAAAATAGATAATTTGCAGTTAAATGTAAAAAATTATACGGATGAGTCTACAGTGTATGTCATACACCGATATGTACCGGTATAAATTTATAAATAGTCATTAAATTGTAGTAAAATATTCTTTTCGGTCATTCAACTTTAAAAAAAATATAAAATGAATATTAAAATTTTTATTTTGTTAAAAAGAAGTATTGACACTTAACCACCGTCAAGAACTAATGTGACATATTAAATTAATAAAAAATATCTTATTTGCTCCTTGAAACTAAAATTTTGTTTTTGATATTTTTTAATATTTTTAAGTAATAATTCTAAAAAATAAAAAAAATGAATTTTTAAAATTTATTTTTAAAATTATTAAACAAAATTTAAAGAATTGAATCACATTGTTTAATAAAAAATGATTTCATTTTTTATAACTTAAATGGTGGACCTCAAAAAGTACAAATTATAAAGTTTCAAATATAATCAAAATTAAGTAAAAAGTAATTATAAAATTTTTTATGAGTTAGCAAATTCATATTTTCTATAAAAGATAATTATAATTTTATGAATTAAAAGATTAATTATAAAAGAAAATTTCCGGACCTCATCACTTTCTAGGTGGTAGATTTGTCCCACCAACTATTGCAGAAAAGTATAAGCTTCGCCTTCCCCAATATCCTGGCACGTCTATGTGTGTTCGCATAGGAAAGCCTCCACAAATTGACATATCAGCACTACGAGAGAATTATATATCTCCAGAGTTCCTTGAGGAGCAGGTGGAGGATGATCCTTTGGATCAGGTACGGATTCAAGACAAACATGCTGTTTACCCATTTAGTTTATTTGAAAAACGTTTTGTTTTCATTCGTATTTTCTCACAATAATTTATAGCATTTATTTCTTTCAAAATGTAGACTTGTCTTACAGTTTCGCAAATGGTTTGATGATGCGGAGGCTGCTGGCCTAAAGGAACCAACTGCTATGGCATTGTCAACCACTGGAAAAGACAGAAAACCGTATGCTTCTGGTTTCTCTGCAAACCATATGATTTGGATCCTTATTCGGATAAATGTTGTTTCCATTATGAGCTGATGATTAGGTCAATTACTAAAGTAACTTTTAGTTGACAATCCTTTTTCTATCATTCATTTATGCAAGTCAACTCACCTTCATCTCTGAAAAATGAGACAAGGAGTAACAGAAGTCTATATTTGTGCTAAAAAAAATGTGAATTTTATACTAGATCTACCCCTCACTTGACGCTATCGTGTGGTTCAAATTAAAAATGGAAGTTGGTAATAATGTTTGGTATTTTGGCAGGTTGGAATATTCCCCTCAAGAGATAGACGGAAAACGAGTTTGGAAAATTGTTCGTTTGGCCCCCTGAGGCTGAGATGGTGTCTTCACACTCAAGTTACGAGCACGTATTCTGAGGGGTGTGTGTGACATTTTACAATAAAAATTTTACAGCAGACTCAAAATACCAGAAAGATGGCAACATAATTGGGTTTTAATGATATGAATGAAGGAAACAGACAGTTGTAGCAGATTTGCGTTACCCATTATATGTGAGAAGTGAAGCAAACAAATCTGATACCTTTTGTAAGAACATCTATATCGGGAATGCATGCTGGATATATGACGTATGCATGTAGAGTGTCCGTGGAGGGCAATATAGAGAGTACATATATTAAAAGAATTATTTATATGATAAAAATTATTTAATTGTTATGAATATTTATTTATGTGGATGTCTATTTCTACCTATAAGATACGGTTTTGATATACTTTATTATTAGGACTTCAATATCAATTAGAGTTACAGTTTTATACGATATCTACTCATTATTCTTATAAATATGGAGTACAGAAAAAGAATTGTACATGACTCAGATTGATATAATAATATAGTTTTCTCCCCTTTATTCCCATCTCTTGTTCTTCTTATTACTTAGTTTAAATTATTTCATAACACGTTATTAGCACGAGTTTACTCAAGAGGTACCTTTATTTATAAGTTTAAAATATATTATAAGTTTCGTTTTTTTTAAATCAAATGAAAATTCTAAACAACATGTTTTATAAACTATTGTTTTATGATTAAATTTTAGAGACAATGACAATAGTTAACAAAAATGAGGTGGTATATATTGTATATATGTTTGCTCATGGGACTTCTGTAAACTCTATTAAATAAAAGCTTTGTTTCTTACGCATTATCGTGTGCAATTTAGATTATTGCATGAATAAATTGTTCATAATTATGCTTTAGTTACTGATTGTCGCATGTACAAAATTACTGATTGTCCCAAGATTTTTAACGATGCACATTATCTTCATAGATATTCAAAGGGAGTATTGTGAATATTTATTTAGGTGGATAATTATCTTTATCTTTTATCTCTATCTATAACATAGGATTTTGATATACTTTATTTTAAGACTTTAATATCAATTAGGGTTAGAATTTTATATGATATCTACTCCTTATTCTTATAAATATGAGTCTGAAAAAACATTATACACAACTCAGATTAAGATAATAATACGATTTTCTCCCCTTATTCTTATATCTCTTGTTTAGATTATTTCATAACATTAATCACATTAATCGTACACTGTAATTTTCCTTTCCTTACAAATTAATATTACCTTCCAAGAATATAATATCAATGGCAGCAAGTTCAGTACAAAAATAAAAGTCTGGCATAGAAAGTATTTTAATGGCCCCATCATCTCCATTGTCATGACAGTTCCGCACTATTTCAGAGCACGACCGTGCAAGTAGCTAAGCAGCTACAAGACATCACTGTCTCTTACCTGATAAATTCATGCATGCGACGTAAATACATAGGTTTGAAGACATACATAACACCTCATACTATTTATACAACAACAAGCGAAGCTTTTATCAAAGCCAAAATACACCTTTGAAACCCCCCACGAAAGCAGCAGCACCAATAAGCAAATAACAAATACATAAAGCACCTTTAAGGGTTACTCGTACTCGAATGTGTCCAATACGGATATGTTTAGATTCCGAGAACATAATGAACACGCAAACATCGAAAACAAATAATCACAACTCACAATGTCCCTCCAGGCGCGATTGACTCATTTGCTCTTGCAACTTTCTACATCAAAGAAAAAACGACCACCACAAGGATTAAGCTTGACAACAATACAAAAAGGGTGAAGATTGGGACCCAAAACACCTAAGAGGCGTGCACTTAGCCCACCCTTTATGAGGGTCCCTCCATTAACCAATCTTCTCATGCCGACCTGTGAGTGTGTTTGGTACTTTCTCTAAACCCCAAGACTAATAACGATTCACAATCATTCACCGTCACGCTTTCTCGAGATACACAGAGATTTCAAGCCAAATGGTACTGATTTCCAGCTCAAATCACTCGAGAAAAGACGCAATGGAACTTGAGTTTGAGTTGGTAGGCTCCGGATCATGTGTAATGCACGCATCTCCAAGCACAACTGCGTAAACTTCATTTATTTTAGCTCGCTCCATTACCGACGACTAATTATGACGGATGTTATACACTAACACTACTAAAATGAGCAGTGGCAACTCATAGAGTACCACGTCCCGAGGTTTCAGCTCTCCGTTTCAGGGATTTTAAGTAATCAACGGCTTCATCAAGAACCATAATAGCATCCTTGCCCTCAACACCTGGAATTAAGCTTCTTAATACGCTCACAGTCTCATGAATTTTATCCACTCTCATTCTCTTGTTGCATGAAGACAAATCCATACCATCGGATCCTGGATTTTGGCCATTGGCAAAACTGGAATCAGCATCATCCTCATGCTCGTAACATCTATTATGATTCAGGGAACTAAAATTGTCCACAGGGAATTGCATATAACCATTACTGACATCGATCAGTTTTCGCTTTTTGGTTAGACCAGTCAAGCTAGCAACCCCTTCAGCGCCTCCCTCAGATTGCTCATGGTAAGCTGTCATAATGCTAGGAGAGTGACCCGTGCTTGTAACTTCTTCATCCTCGGTATAATCACTATCTTCATCAGAGTAAAGCAAGGCATTGAGTTCTTCAGTGTCCTCACGCATTTCACTTTGCACATCAGTCCTATTTTCGTCAAAAACACCTTTAAATGTTGGTCCACTGTGAAGATCCAGGCTCACTTTAGCCAAGGGATCCTCCCTACTCAAGTTACAAGCAAAAGGTAATTTGGGACCCAAAGAACCGCACTTGATAGAAGTCCCAAAAGCAGAACTAAGCATTACTGTAGTTTGACCACCAGATTGGTAAAAAACAAAGAATCTCTTCTGAGCACACCCGGCCCCTGCCTTGGGAGCAATGTTTTCCGTACCATTCCCATGAGGGTTATGTGGGAATCGCTCTTTCAAGAAAGTGTTTGATGCAGGTGCAAATAACTGTTGGGAGCGGGGTAAACAGTAACACCAACCATGGGACTCATTAACTTGGCCAACCCGCAAGTGAGATAAATCACGACATCCATAAACCGGCAAAGTCCCGTTAGCAGAGACCATATTAGTGCCAAAGTTTATGAATTGAGGATTAGTACTTTGCTGCCCCAAAGGATGTGGAGCAGCCAAAGTATTCAATTTGGGTGATTGCCAATCAAATTGCTGCAGAGGAAACCAGGACCCACAGTCTTCTCCCATCCAACCAGAACAATCACCTACGAAAACAACAAAATCAATATGAAAAAGGATATTCCAAGAATAAAAAGTAGATATTATTAAAACCAAGTACAAGCAATACATACCAGGAGTTAAATGTTGTGTCAGTAGAAATAGCAGTTTACTTGAAGTTTCTCTCAAAACAAGGGAAAAAACTAAGAACTCCAGCTTATAACTTGAACACGGAAATATAAAACCAAACTACGTAACCGGCTTAAGCAAATGACGGAAATATTCAGCCTGTCAAAAAACATAAGGAAATTCAACAAAAAAGCTTTGCATAAACATTCTCATCAATCATCAGTATCAAAAAGAACAAGAACGAGAAATCCTATGCATTAAGAAAACAAATATAAACAGCACAAGTGTATAACAAAATGGAAAATAAGGAACGAAAAAAACTAGCCTGGCAATCCTGAAGTGGTTGAAAGCATGCTATAACTCTAACTACAATGGTGGCACTCCCTGCAATACCATTTTCGTACTTCAATGCCCGAAATCTAGTTTGGCTAGCTGATTGGCACACCATAGCTACGTTCCCAACCCTTCAATATGACAAAAATCGAGAGATCTTCCAGTTGAAGACTTGCTTAAATTCCGTAATCCAGATCGATAAAACCGAAATATCTCTACAAAACTACCCCTGTTAAAATCAAAAGACTAAATCTTGGATTAGAAATTTGAGAAATGGGTTTGGATTAGAAAGTAATATGGAAGGACAACGAAAAAAGTGGATCCCGTGGAAGATTAATAAGAAGACAGGTGAGTAAAAATGAAGGGTACTTGCTAAAATAGATTACTGAATTACAGAATCACTCTACAATACAAGTTCAAAGGGATAACTTTTCGAAACACATCAACGGAAACACTCGGCCACCACCGCATGCTGTTCTTTATTCAACTACAATCACCACACTTGAGTTTCTTAGTAACTCGTTTGTCCCAAAACAACCTGTTCAAAAACCCTACAATGGCCAATATATCCATTATTTTAACATCATATACATAATTTATAAATGAAAATTCATAGTATTAAACTAATGCAAGACAAAAAAAAAAGGAAGAAGACGGTAGTGAACAAGTAGAAAACTTCATTCTCTTAATATAACTGTAAATGCTGAGATAAGATATGAGCTTTCTAAACCTTTAGGATGGATATAATTAAGGTTTCTTCCAGAATCCCAAAAAAAATCAGATGAAATCAACAAACCCAAAGCTATAAAAAAAATTCAGCTAAAACCAAAAATAAAAAAAAAAACAGGAAAGCAAGAAAATTAAACAAAAAGAAGAAGAAATTTAAACCGATTAAAACGGATAAATTGAAAAAGAAAAACACGAGAAGACTTACAGAACTGAATGAAGCAGAAGAAAACCCCAAAACCCAAATAGAGAAAACAAAAGAAGCTACCTGAAATTGCGTCAATCCTTAAGCTATAGGGAAAGAGAAACACTAGAAAACGGAGAGTGAAAAGGTCGAGGCATTTGGAAAGCACGGAAGCTTAGATTACGATTATTATATAGAAAATTAAATTGACACATAAAAATATAAATAAATAAAGAGAAAATCGCCTCAGTGACCAAAAATGCCTTATAATATACGATTTTAACAACTTTTTTTGGATTTGCCAAAATGACCAACAAAATCGCAACGCGAAATAAAAATCGCAACGCGATCCCCAGAATCGCAAATCAGTTTCCAAAAGCGCAACGCGATTCTTGAAAATCGCAATGCGATAGTACAAATTCGCATTGCGATTTTCCAAAATCGCAACGCAAATATGAAAATCGCAACGCGAACACATAAATCGCAACGCGTATCCGTAAATCGCAACGTGTATCCGTAAATCGCAACGCGTATGGGTAAATCGCAATGCGTATCCGTATATCGCAACGCGTATCCGTAAATCGCAACGATAATACATAAAATCGCAACGCGTATCCGTAAATCGCAACGCGATATTTAAAGCGCCATTATAATCGCTACGCGTATTTTATTTTCAAATTACAAAAACGAATATTAAGACAAAATCCCGTAATCGCAACTCATAACCTAAAACCTAAAATCACAACTCAGTCCCATCTCCATCTCTCACTCTCTACGGCGAAGAAATCCGTCCCCATCTCCGAAGATTTCCGTCCCCATCTCCGGCGAAATCCCTCACAACCATTCACGGTCAGAAATCCCTCACAATATTCAGAAATGGAAAATCAACCTCCGAGGGTTAGTTTTTTTAATTATTTTTATTTTGAAATGTTTGCATTATTGTAGGTTTTTCATATTGAAACTGATGATAAGTTTACTGGTCATTTCAATAATAGATTAACCATTTCACTTAGATTTCATTTCGCGTTACGATTCTGTCGTTGCGATTTTCATTTCGCGTTGCTATTCTCTCGTTGCGATTTTCAAGTTAGTATTTGTCTTTGTCTTTGTTCTGTCTTTTGGTTGAAGTAATGCAATCCATTCAAGTTTCAATTTGCAGAAGAGTCGCAACGAGATAAATGAAAATCGCAACGAGAGAATGACTGTCGCAACGAGAGAAATGAAATGAAAATCGCAACGAGAGAATCGCAACGCGAAACCAAAATCGCATTGCGATTTTCATTTCGCATTGCGATTCTCTCGTTGCGATTTTCATTTCGCGTTGCGATTGTCATTTCGCGTTGCGATTCTCTCGTTGCGATTTTTATTTCAACCAAAAGACAAAACAGTGTTGCAAATTTTAGTTTTAAGAATAAACTACTACTTTTTATGTTTATTGTTTTTGGTATATCTTCACAGTGTAGTTTTTGGTATATCTAACTTGGTATGTTTATTGTTTTTGTAGAAATTTTTTTCGGCTCAATTGACCTTGAGAAATAAAGTCAGCCTGGCCACTACAATTGCTTCGAAGCTTTCACCTGCTCAAAGACAATTGTTTGAGGAAACCTGCTTCGGGCCATGGCTGAGAGTACAGCATCCGGGTGGAGATGCTAATTTGACCCATTTGTGGCTTCAGACCATGACATCAAATCTACCCGACAGTATACAATGTGGTGAGGAAGAGATATGGTTTCATTTTCCACCAGCGTATACTTGTTTTGGGCGGAAGGAGTTCTGCTTAATCACTGGTCTACGATTCGGACACGATGATGTAGGCCGGTACACTCGTCATATCGCCCGCCCATCATGGTTATCCCGGGTTTTTCCGGATGAGTCAATGGAGAAGCCGAACCTACATGTCGACGACCTGAAGAAATTGTTTAATAAGAAAGCTGGTTTCACTCGGATGGATGACGTCGATGTTGTCCGAGTATGCCTTCTACTACTTGTGTATGCCGGCTTTTTAGGCAGAGAGGCCAGACAACCTATTCATCGGGAGCTAATAATATTGGTAGAGGACCTGAATGCATGGAATCTGTTTCCGTGGGGTTCGTATATATGGAAAGCTACCTGGACTAAGTTGTCGTCTGCCTTTGATGACCGCAAAAGTTTGCGGGGCGATGGGTCCAAATACACTTTGTCAGGCTTTGTTTGGGCCTTTAAGGTAAGAATTTCTATATAATGTTTCTAAAATTATAATTAATTATTTAACAATTACTAATTTTGTTATTATATTGTTTGTAGATTTGGATATTCGAGGCTTTCCCCAGCATGCGTACATATGCAATAAAACGTCAAATGATATTCCCAGGGCTATTTCCTGGAAGAGGAAAACTCTGTTGGATTGGGAAGACTTAATACCATATGCGACAATAAATAATGTAAGTTAACACAAATACTTTCATATAATATAAACAAGTTATTAATAGTAGACGTTTAACTTTGTTTGAGTTTTTATATTTTAGGAGGCCAACATTCCATTACAAAGACTGACACCCACGGAGGAAGAGCTTGCCACTGATTGGTGGCAAGCTAGTCAGAGTTTTTTTGATGGCACGGATGATGAGCAACATCCACTTCCTCCAATTCGAGAGCCATCACCTCACCTAGAGCCATCACCCGATCGACCCGACTATACACCTCTAGAACGAGAGCCATCACCTATCCCGTCACATCATCGAGCCTCTTCTCCACCATCACCTCATGATAGACGACCGGCAAAGATGCCACGACTCCTATCTCCCTGTTCTCCACCTCCACCTCCACGGGATGAGTCAAGGGAGTTACGTGATGAGGTCAATGCCTTGCGTGAGGAGATCGGTACTCTACGCGATAACGATGGTGCATGGCGTGTGGAGGTGTCAACTTTACGTGGTGAGGTTGCCGCTCTACGTGAGATGATAGTATCGTTGCAGAATGAGGTTCATACTCTACGCAACGAGGTAAGTTTAAGATTTTCCATATTTAACTTAATGATAAATTTACTCGTAATTTCACTTAGATTAGCCATTTCACTTAGATTGCTTAGTAAATTTATTCGGTTGCTACCAATTCTGCTAAACTGTGTATTCTTTAACACTGTGAAATAGTATTTGTCTTTGTTTTGTCTTTTGGTTGAAAGTAAATTTGTTCGGTTGCTGCCAATTCTGCTAAACTGTGTATTCTTTAACACTGTGAAATAGTATTTGTCTTTGTTTTGTCTTTTGGTTGAAAGTAAATTTGTTCGGTTGCTGCCAATTCTGCTAAACTGTGTATTCTTTAACACTGTGAAATAGTATTTGTCTTTGTTTTGTCTTTGGTTGAAAGTAAATTTGTTCGGTTGCTGCCAATTCTGCTAAACTGTGTATTCTTTAACACTGTGAAATAGTATTTGTCTTTGTTTTGTGTTTTGGTTGAAGTAATGCAATCCATTCAAGTTTCAATTTGCAGAAGAAGAAATAGTTTACTTTCGCAACACGAAACTTAAAATCGCAACGCGAAACCAAAATCGCAACGCGAAATGAAAATCGCAACGACAGAATCGCAACGCGAAACCAAAATCGCAACGACAGAATCGCAACGCGAAACCAAAATCGCATTGCGATTTTCATTTCGCGTTGCGATTCTTTCGTTGCGATTTTCATTTCGCATTGCGATTCTGTCGTTGCGATTTTCATTTCGCGTTGCGATTTTGGTTTCGCGTTGCGATTTTAAGTTTCGTGTTGCGAAAGTAAACTATTTCTTCTTCTGCAAATTGAAACTTGAATGGATTGCATTACTTCAACCAATAGACAAAACAAAGACAAATACTAACTTCAGGGTATTAGTTTGAAACATATTTTTCTTTGTTATCTGATGCATTTTGTGAACTATGATAGA